TGTACCCTTGTGAAAATTCCTTTCCGTTTCCAACAGATCCCTGTTGTGTTTGGTTTTTTGCTCTGTAAAGGCTTTTTTTAATTTTTTTCCAATACTTCGTTTTTTTCTTCCTACAAAAGAATTCAGTATATAATCATAGTTTTAAAGGTATAAAATGAAAGTAGACGGTAGTCGCGGATTAACCAATCCCCCCCCCCCCAACCCACCCACTCTACTCACTGACGATACACTGGGCAATTCTATTAATTCATGAAATAATAGAACAATATTGGTGCTTTTCTGACTGTAAAGAAGAACTACATGAAGAAACTAAGATAACGACAATTTTTGAGGCATGACGTAATTTGTACCTGTTGTTACGTCACCATGCATATTATGTCCTTAACAATGTCGCGGAAGGCCTAAAGACCAACTGAATACAAAACTTTTGGGCGATGTAAATTAATGCTTCTTTGGCTTGTCGGAGTCAATGGTGGGATGTTCATATGCCTTAGTATGCCAAAGTTCTTGATCTCTATTTTCCAAAGACCTAGAAAGCTGCACTTACCAAACTTGTCCACTTTTTTACCGATGAAATGTTTAAAATCATCCATGGCACGTTTACATTCCTCTGAGATTTGGTCACAGGCAATTTTCTCACAGATATCGCAAACGTTATTAGCGTTCCTTTCGCAGGCTACCTTAGCGTCTTTTACTGTGGCCCTTGCTCTTTCCAAAGCTTTTCTTGCTGCCTGAAGGCCATTAATGAGAAGCTGCGCAGTCTTGTTTGATAGTTCTTCAAAGCCAGTTTCGATGATAAACTTGGCTTGGAATCCTGTCTCGGCAAACGGGTTTCCGTAGCCCGCTGAGATCCATATTTGTGCTTTAAAAACGTTGAACAGGTTGAGATTTAGATCGGTTTCTATACGTTCGTTTGTCAGCTTGAAGCTGATTCCAGTCTCAAACCCAAAGATGTTTGCAGCTCCTTGGATGAATATCTAGCAACAAAGGCAATTAGATTTAAAGGCGTGGTTTCAGGGACCGGGGCCCATTTCTCAAAAATCCCGTGTTGCCGTTTACATTCAAGATAGCGGTTTCAATAGTTTTGAAGATAACATGATGAAACTGTCAGTTAACAAAACAAAATGGATGGGTTCGTTTGCTAGAACCAACGCTTCTGGTCTTTAGATTTTGATTTGAATATTTGATTACCGAGACTTTCGAGAAACGGTGCCCTGGAAGTGTATTCTAGGAATCCGGGATTTGACCGAAATCTAGTGCGGAAATCGGGAAAACGGAACATTTCTTGATGGTGTACGGGATTCGACCGCTAGCCGGGAAGCAGGATTCGCCAAAATCGGTATTCGGAAGGGAAACAGTGTTTGGGATAGCTATAATTACAGAAGTTCGGGAAGCGCGATTGTCGTCAAAAGGAGCGCGAATACAGGATCAAGACGGCCCCATTCCAGACTCTATAGTTTAATTGCTTTTCCTTAATATCTTTTCCCCTGCGATATCGATAAACGGCTTTATTTATTCTAGGGGCGGTCAAAGAAATCGTTATCGTCCAATGCGCATCAAATGTTAGATTATTTAATTAAGCGACTGGAACTAAAGACGTCTCCTCGACTCACTTCAGACGTCTAAGTCCTTTACTATCGTTAAAGCCATTTAATATAAAGATGAAAGGCAAAATATGTTGCACTCTGCCAGACGTTCTCTGGGGTTTAGACACCCCCAAAGTATATTAAGTTTTAGCATGCCAAAGTTTTCTTACTTCCGCTTCAAGAGGGTTTCTTTTGGCATGAAGGTAAAACTTGGGACCCTTTTTCTTGTCCGTCAATGAACGAAACACTTCCACACCTCCCAGTAGCTTGACAGGGTCTAGCTCCAGATCAAAGTGTATTTTCTGGAAATCATAAAGAAAAGGAATCAATAGGTAAGTTCATGAGAAAGTCAATGAATGCTTTTGATAGTAGTTCCAGTAAACTAGCCTTCCTCGAAGGCCGCTATCTTTATGGATATGATAGATAAGAAATTTCCACCCTCACTAGTCCCATGCCCAGTTCGTGCTGTCTATGTCCTTAAGTGCACAGCCTAAAGCATCCTGCAAAGGAGGCTATGTATATATACATGAAACCACAAATACTTGTAAAACATAATATTATCCCGTTGAGACTATAGTGCACGTATGGCCTTTCTCTCCACAAGTCTCACCATAGTTCGGTTAGGGTAGAAGGAAAGTCTGGCCGGTATTTTTCAGGTCATATATGTAGTGTCATGTAAGTTTGCGTCGTAAGGTAACGACCTTACCTTTACAATATAGATTCTAATTCTTCGGGTAATCAAGCTATTTCTTCGTCCAAGCTCACTAATCGAAATGGTGATAGTTGTTACCTCTTTCCCGACAAAATGTCTTCTTTTCACTCTTTTTATGCATGCACAATTCACTAAAAAGAAAATCTCGATTCTATCCCTCTCAGCGCGGTTTTACACAATGTTTACACACTATTTTACATACTATTTAATGACAACTAAAGAAATCCGGGAAAACAATCATTGATATCAAAATGGACGTAACTGAAGGCTTAATATCTTGGATTTCCTCCACTTTTATTCCTATTTATTATTTTTTTTTACACTTTGTCATGACATCGTGCATTCTGTCAGCTGGTCCTTACCTCGTCACTCAGTAGAATTTCCACTGAAGGTGCAAATCCTAGGATGTTGATGGTGCCCTTAATATACACACCTTTCTTGATGTCTTTTGTTGCACCAGCATAAGGGACTTTTTGATTGGCCCAAGACGCAGAAATCTGTTGATAGCAAAAATGACATGTTGAGCATGTAATCGAGCATACTGACGGCAAAAAACATTTAGTTTTTGGATATATTTTTCTGAATTCCTTATCTATAATGCATGCTACTACATTTTTTCTTTTAGCTGAACTATAGAATTTATTAATCTTTTTTTTGAACAAACTTCTTTACTGCTTCTAGACTTATAACAGAAGAAAAAAGAGCTTTTAGGGAGAGCTGTATTTTTATCGAACATTATAGGGTCTTAAGAGACAATGCCGCCAGACACTTATTTTGTCAAATTTTTCCATCCATAAGGCAAAGATGAAGTATTTACTGTTGGGCAACAAATTTCCACGATAGTATTTCAATGTACTCGTTATTCCCTTGCTGCATGGAATTGAGTGTGAGGCTTGAATGGGATTATAGTGAAAGGTACTTTAACCATTCTTTATATATTTAGTATAGAAAATTCCAAGACTCAGGGCAAATAAGTTTGTGACCGGCTAAAAACGAATACTTCGTCCGAGTCGCTCGAACTTCATCAGCGAAGTACTGTCAGGTTGCGTAACAGAAAAGTTGTTAGGTATCCCCAGAAGAGGATTGTCAATGACCGGTAGTCCAGTCCCGTATCCATATTCAGAGGGGTTTTTCTTTATTTGATAACAATGGCCTCCTTGACGCAGCACTTGATAACGTTGTTTTCATTGGATCGTACATTGTGTGGGTTGTTGTTGTGACTCGTTATATTTAGCACACAGCAGTGAGAGAAAACGGCAGAAGTTTCAAGGTTCTTTGATCCGGGTACAAAGAGACCTTGCGGTCTTGCCAATGTAGCCGTCCAGGAAAAACCTTTTTGCATGGTGACATTTTCATGTACTTACAGTCAGTCCTTTCGGAAATCCACTCTGCTCCACAGCTGGGGGTAACTGAAGTTTGGAGCCGAGCATGCGCAATATTTTTCCTATTGTGACTGGTGAAAGATCGCCATAGACATACTGCTTAGCAGGATTAGCGCTTATTCCTACTAAGGCTTCTCCTGCAAAACACCGACCGTCAACTTTAAAGTCGTCCGCCCCACAGTCGTGTCCAATCTCTAAGCGACCGTTAAACGTGAATTCAGTGGGAACACCAGCCGCTAATGTTACTGTGAACCTAAGAAATGGAGAAGTCGAAGTATATAAGTTTCGCACTCTACGGCCTGCGCGTTCTCAGTTAATTTATATGTGTCCCAAGTCTATTTTGGATTTGATTGCTACGCTATGGGACCGGCTATTAAAATCTCCCACTGTGTTCTAACAATGAGAAGTTAAAAAAAGAAAAATTTTCTAAACAAAACACTTTATGGTTATTTTCGCAGGCGCGTTTAATTTTCCTACGCTAATAAGTGATTTGTGAATTTGGTAAATTTGTGTTAGGACAATTAACCTTATTCCAAAATAAAGACAAATTTAGTATTTCTTTTGCCTGGTAATGATGATTGAACTTCGATGTCATTGAATACAGATGCGATGCAGGCAAAAAAGGGCTAATTGAGTAGACATAAATATGGAAGGAGGTGATATTGCCACCTCAACTGGAGAGAAACATCGATCGTTAAGTGATACTTACAATTTTTTGTTGTCAGTCGGCCTATCAAAAGTTTCAGTTATCATTTTAGGTAACCTGAATTTAAGACATATCTTCCAGTCGCTTACTCCTTTAGAGACGGCGCCTGTAAGGGTGTTAGTAACTAGAAGACATGTCTGAAATTCATTTCGTGGCAGGGACGAAACATACTCATGTCAGGCTTAGTAACTTTTATAATCATGGGCTATGGGAAACATGAGTTTCGACTAAGTAAAGCTAAGGATAAATGTTTGTGCCACAAGGTTAAATTATGATTGAACTAGTCTTCTGTCATTTCTGGTCAATTCTGCCTGTGTCTTTCTTTAATTGTAGAAACCAGGCAGTGTATCCTTTTCATACAACCACAAACCTGCATGGGATTTTCGAGGGTCTTCTGACGTGTAGGAGGGATGGCATTTTAATAATACTTTCATAGAATAAACATAAAAAGCGGTGGTCAGATCCTCACCCAATTTGTATGTTTCCAATACTAAGATATTTTAAACCAAATGCCTTTTTCCACATTCCATTCATATATAATGTTGTGCCTATCTCGGCTCCGCCAGTAACGAATAGTTTGCCTCCAATCTGCAGAGACGTGCTTGGAACTTCCTCCTCTTTTTCATTCACCTCTCCTTTAACAGGTACGTCTAACTCTACCGCAAACCCGAGATTAGGAACCGCAGAAGCACTGCCATATTTAACCTGCATGGATAAAATGATGTCTTTTAACTGCAAACTTTTTGTTACCCTACGTATACCACCGGTCAACGTCGCATTGATCTACGTCACGTTGATTTCTACGTGAAGAGTGACAGGCATTTTAGAGAATGACAATGACGTTGACGCATGGTGACGACGGTAACGCTGTTGCATGCTTCCTTTAATTTTGTTTTTAACTCGTCATGGTCCTATAAAAGTTCATTTTTGAATATGAAAAGGAAAACAGGAAGTGGAAACAGAAAGCTACTGACCTTTTTAATTTAAATTCAGAGACACTAAACAATTTGTGGATGAGGTTTTTGTGATATCCGGAATAATCAAGCTCGAGGTAAGTGTTATCACCCGAGCCGAAGGCCGAGGCTGATAAAACTTACCGAGACCTTGATTATTTAGGATATCACAAAAACCGAATCTAATAGTTGTTTTATTATAAATTGTTTTGAAGAAAATAACGACAAACACACGCTGGCAAGGAACCCGAATTGATATTGTTATAGGAAATCATGCATTGCGCGCGCAACCTACAGATTAGTCAGTTATCTGCTAGCAAACAACTAACTAATCTGCAGGTTGCGCTGATTTCCAAAATTAGCTGTAGGCTCTGAGCCAATGAGAAGACAGCTAGTGAGTACAATGTATAATAATGTCACATATCGCCCTAGTAGAACCTGTAAGTAGTTAGGAACCTCTTTCCAGTTTTATTTTATTTTAAGAATTGCTTAATAAATATCGCCTTCGTCATCGTTATGGGTCCACTACATTAGGAACGTTGTTACCTCCAAGAACAGTTCAACTTTGTTAAACTTTAAATCTCCTTTTATAGGAATGCCATAAACTCCTGCTGCCACTTTGACACCGGCCGTGTTAATTCCACCATGAAATTTCAACCACGAATTCTTCCCCATAAGAATCTTTCCAAGCTTGCAAACGGTTTCATTCCCACAATTCGCCGCGAACTTGGTCAGCGCTCCAAAGAACAGACCATCCGGAACTTCCTTTTTCATTAGCGATTGTAAAGGCTCCTTCGTGAATTTTGTCTGGGGAGTAACCTTGAACCCTTTTTGTGCGAAAGAAACTCCAAACTGAAAGAAAGAAGAAGCAAAACATTTTCTGCGAGTTCGGAGTAATGGATGGATCCGCAAGTTAAGACCATCACTATGTAAATCCTGCAACTCATCCGTTTTCTTCTCCTTTTCTCTCCAGCTTTGATTTTAATTTTTCAAATACCGGTTAATCAATTTTACGTCGCATTACAGAGAATTGATGTTCACTAGCCAAGCGGTCGCAAAAGATGGCGGTATATTACTTGAAATTTTTATAGAGAGAGACAAAGTCCAGGCTAATGAAAACGCAAAAATACGAAAGAGGAAAATATCCAGCTATCTTGACCGAACAAGCTTGGTCAATAAAGGATTTATTATATGGCTAAAAACATAAATTTTCTTGCGGGACCAACGCGGGAAATTCCAAGCTGGCGAGCTGGCTACATCTTGCTTTCTTGGGTAGTCAATCAGAACATGGGATACACTTCATCTTTCCCTCACGCGGATTCCGCTATATAATAATTGCAACTAAAAATATCGAAATGCAGAAATGACTCACCGTGGTTTGTTCCAAAGCATTAAACAAGCCTAGTTTTGTGTTGAACATCTTTTCAGTAAAGTCCTCAAACCCAGCTTGTTCCGCAGTAAAAGCCACAGCAAAAATGCTTTTGCGCACAATCTCAAAATTAAACCATCCACCGATCTTTTTAGGCGCTGCTTTTCCACTCACTCGGAAAATCACGTCTTTCATGTCGGCGTTAATATTCAAGGAAAGGTCTGATATCGTAACTAGACCGAGTCCCACGCGCTTTAGCAAATCCAAAACCTTTTGATCCACTTTCCCCATCACTGAGTCACTCCTTTGCGGATTGACCGTCCCCCCGTAGAGGGTCCGGTTAATCATAACACTAGGGTTTCTGTTCCCTCTTGTGACATCAGTATCCGAGATTTTATCACTGTCACTTTGTACGGGATTAAATGATGTGAAAGGTATCATGTTGCGCTGGTATATTCTCGTTGGTCCATATCGTGGCTTCCTGTTCGCACTGATTGCTCTTGGCATAACAGATTTATGGACCTTTCCACCACGATGGATCCTTTCTCCTTTAATTCTTTGGACCGTTGGCGTTTTGTCACGTTTTGTCACAGACTTTACATGGGAAGTAAACCTAGAATCTATGTGTCTCGCTACACGAATGTAGTAGTCATCTGAATGCGGCGATAAGGCGGCCTCAATTTCCTCTAAACGAAAACAAATTTAAAATTAAAAAAAAGAGAAATTGTGAGGACGGTATACGGTATACACTCTTTTTTGTATAAGAATATATTTTATAACAATATCGAGGCTGAAATGTTCGAAATTTTAAGAATATTTTAAGAATAGACCCGAGGCTGAGATTTTGAAAAGGATTTAATTTTGTGTGTTGAAAATCTGTTAATAAAGAACAATTATATCTTTTTAACTTAATTGATAAAATTTTTCCTTTCTCTGAACGGCAAAACTAGCCAACAAACCAAAAAATAGCACTAACTAAATCCAAATGTTCAATGTTAATAACAGTTCTCAGCTGAGGTCGGTAAACAGCACATAAAATAGTGATGTCTGAAAATAATACGTCAAAAATATTCTCAGCCTAAAACGTCGGCTAGTAAGAATATTCAGCTTGGGACGGAAAAACAAGATTCTTATGTATACAAAAGAAGAGTGTAATGGTTTTTATGACTAGTAAAAAGTATGGGAATAGATAATGACGTCTTGGAAACAGTAAATATATTTGATTGGCTTATGGTTGCCTATGGAAACAACCATCCTACCTGAAATAAATTTGTAACTAAAACAATCCCAGAGTTGCTAGAACCGAAAAAATGGTTTCCAGTTCCCCTTGCTGCGTGTACCCCTAAATTGATGTTAGACGACGAGAGAAAAGAAAATGACATCTCGGAAACAGTGAATTCAGGGAGCAAGGAAGGAAGGAAGCAAGCAAAGAAGAAAGGGAGGACGGAAGCAAGGAAGGAAGGACGGAAGAGAGGAAAGGAGGAAAAAAGAAAGGAGGAAGGAAGAAAGGAGGGAAGAACAGTGAAGTCAGGAAGCAAGAAAGTAAGGAAGCAAGGAAGCAAAGAAGGGAGGACGGAAGCAAGGAGGGAAGGAAGGAAGGAAGGGTGAAAGGAAGGAAGGAAAGAAGGAAGGAAAGAACGAAGAAAGGAGGGAAGGAAGCAAAGAAGAAAGGAAGGAAGCAAGCAAGGAAGGACGGAAGGATGGAAGGAGGGAAGGAAGGAAGGAGGGAAAGAAGGAAGAAAGGAGGAAAGGAAGCAAAGAAGAAAGGAAGTAAGGAGGCAAGGAAGCAAGGAAGGACAGACAGAAGGAAGGAAGTAAGGAAGGAAGGAAAAAGGAAGGAAAGAAAGAAGGAAGGAAAGAAGGAAGGAAGAAATAAAGGAAGGAAGCAAGGAAGGAAGGAGGGAACGAACGAAGAAAGGGAAGAAGAAAGCAAACAGAGAATAGAGGCAAGCAAGCAAGAAAGGAAGGAAGGGAGAGAGGGCTGCTGTCACTTAAATCTCATTTGCCATAATTTGAGGAAAAAAAAAAAAAAAGAAGAAAAACCTCTACGCTGCTGTCACCAAATATTAAATGAATATAACAAGGTATTGCGTTCTAGAGTCTTGAAATTTTCTGAGCGGCTTTCGCTACCTGTGAAGGTATGTTTATCTCCATTTCGGTAGATTCATGCTAGTCAATAACCACTTTCGCTGTCACTCAATAGAATATATCAATTTTTTTCTTTATTTTATTTTATAGACCAGTGTTTTACTGGAAAATATACCACTCGTAAAATTCATAAAAACTACATCCGGGACCCGAGTGGTTTATTTTCCATAATCTCACACTTGAGTTTATCGATGACGTAATTTCGGTAATTTCCGTCTATTATTTTATCGATGTCTTTTTGTCTATATAATAAAAAGAACATTACACGGCGGCTTGAAGATATGAATTTTATTTTCGAGTGGCAAAACAATATTTTACGAACGAGCGCAGCGAGTGAGTAAATATTGTTTTTGCCACGAGAAAATAAAAATCATATCTTCAAGCCACCGTGTAATATCCTCTATATATTTTATTCTATAAATAGTGACTGTTCACGTTACTACCTGAGGACACTACGTGACTGCTCGTGCCTTCGATTGCTACCTCGCCTCCCTCGCCAGCCGAGACTGCATACACTGCAAACAGCACATTGCCGATTTTGTTAAAACCATGCGCCACAATGCGTTCATTGCCTGGTGTTTCTTGATATAGAAACATCGCTTTTTCAAGTGAGACTGTGTCTGTTGGGGCGTAGGTAGATGCTGACCCAAGAAGAAATTCAACTAAAAAAGATGAGAAACAGAGGCTTCAGTAAGATACATAGTAGGATTTAAACAATTTAGATTTTGAAAAACGTTTGGATTTGGACAAAGGCTATGTCAATTGTCCCCAATAGGCTTTGATTGAGAAAGGTTGTTTTCCCAGGTTATCAGCTGGGGTTTCTAAATAAATTTCAAAGCTTTCACCTGACTCTCTGTAGGGTCGACTTGAATGCTACTCACTTATTTCAGGCGAAAGAGAAAATTTTCAGACTCTCCTGTGAAACTCCTGAACATGTAGGAATCTCACTTTGCCGTCGGTATGGCCTACAAGTACTTGTGGTGGCATATTAATTGAGCGGGTCATCTTGTCCATCGCCGTGATATGATAATTACGACGACATGAAGATGACGAAGATGATGATGCTATGATGAGTTTCTAGGCAACGGATAAACTCATGCTTAACTAGACCATTTAAGAGCGATAATATACTCAAATATAGTGGAAACAATCTTTTGACGTTTCAAAATCTCAGGGCGGGACACGCAGGAAATTTCTGATCAATATCACCTAAATGGTTTGAAGAGAAGGTAAGCGAGAAATGTCATAAAGTTAATCTCTTTCCCCAGGCCTAGGGACTTTTACTTGGTGGTAAATTATTTCTTCTAGCAGACTTACCCCCATTCAAGGCTTTATCTTTCCTTAAATTGACCTTCACTCCTTTCACGTGTTCTTTGTCGCCGGGAACAGTAAAGAAAGGCATGCTCTTGGCCGATCGAAAACTGGGATAAAGCTGAGCAAGCTGTGCCATGGTCAGCATATTTTTAGGTTCAAAACATAACTCATCCAGGTCCTTGGAATCACTTTTAATCGCGAAGTAGCCACCCATCAAGTTAGGAACGAGTTTAGGAACATTAACGAATACAGCTGCGACTAGTTCGTTCTTGAGTGAATCGCTGATCAGCTCAGCATGTGTTGAGTTGCACATGAGACTTATAAATGAGTATGGATCAACGAGTTTTGTAGGGTCCAAGTTTTCTGGGATTTCTGAAAGAAAAGGAAAATTTCCCGAGAAAAAGACAATAAAGCTGATTCTACGTGTAATGTCAGTCAGCTGCAACCAGGAGTGTGTGAATTTGTTGCAAGTGACAGATGACATAGTTATAAAAAGTATTAAAATGAAAAGAAACAAAAAAATTGTCCTAAACCACACCGTGTATATCTGCACGGAGGCTTTTTAGAACCCTGGAGCTAGTAAAATAGACCATTTCTTAATACGTACGTCGGAAAATTTCAAATATTGAAAATGCGTACCTTTGCAATTTGTTTTTGGACATTCCTGGCTTTCGGACCCAGTCCCTGGGCAAAGCTCTCCACCGTCTTGAGGAGCGGGACTGTCACACAAACGAGTGCGAACTTGGGCTCCTCTGTTGCAGAATTGTGTTTCGGAGCATGCGCTCCAAGGACCCCACTGACCCCAAGCTCCATTTACTACATCTGTAAGCGAAGATGTATAACGATTTTAGTGTAAGAACTCCTTACGTCGATGTCATCCAAGTTTAATCTAAGAACTGCTTAATCGGGAGTAGAGTATGTAATCTACAAGTTGAAACAATTGAAATTAATTGAAATTGATCACATCTCGCCTGTTCTTCGTGAATAAGGGTGGCCCTCCATCAATGATCAGCTATTAATCCGTGATAGT